TTTGTAGTTGCCCCCCTCCCTCCCTCCCCTTCAGCCCCCTCGCACACCACCACCCCACCAACACCCCCGACCTACCGCCTAACCACCTTCTTCCACTCTTGCCGCGCGCGCACACAGACAACGGACAGAGAGCGCGCGCGCGCGCGCCCATCCACTTTGCCGGCGCAGCGACCACCGAAGTCCGGAGGACTAAGGCGCGGATGCGCCGCAGATTTCTTCTACGCCAAGCGATATCCCGTCTACTCCGTTTTCTGTAACGCGAAACCCCAAGAAGTGAGTATCTCTTACCAGTCGATTTTCGTTTTCGCGTTGCCTCGCCGTGCGCGGAGGCTACCTGCGCGGTGACGCACAGGTGACGCGCCGGGTCACCTGCCCGGTAAACACGACGCTTCGACCATCTACGCGTACATTCTCGAGCTTTATTATTTTTAGCTTTCCCCGCGAAACCGAAGAATATGGTCGCATATGCGATGGAAGATGAGTCGACTCGAATCGTAGACTCGATGTTTACCATTTTGTTTGAGTACGAAGGGACCGTCGAAGAATTAGTTGCAATCTTTATCATTTTGCGATTCTCTAATTGATTTGAAACTTATTGTTGATACTGTTGATGGGTCTCCTTGTTGAATTAATAAATAGATTCGATCTCCACCATATTGTCTTCATACAAAGGTTATCAAAAACAAAAAGAATGCAATGGTGACTTAGAGGAATTGGTTCCCTGCAATTCTTGAGTCGACTTGGAATGTGTCAATATTTACCATATTGTCTGAACCCAAACGAAACTTCCTAGGGATAAACAGAAATGCCCGGTGCAATTCTGCAGTCGAATCAAACTGTGATTCAATCTGTGTCGTTTAGCCTAAATTTGGATTCTCGAATCTGTTTAGATCCAGATGTATCCAATTATAGAGACAATCTTTACTATGTTACAAAGAAATACGATTATTAAATTTCATAGCTAGTCGAAACAACCTTTAGACACGATCTTTATCATTTTTCTCTGAATCGTGATTATATAGAAACATTCTGGTGACGAATAGAACGCAATTCATGCTCGTATGGATGAACCATCTCTTGGGATTCTCGAGTCGACTCAAAACGTGGCCTCGAATACCATTTTTTCTGAATTAAGAATAACACGATGATTGGACCATCCTCTTAACTCACGCATCGTATCGTGATATTCATGAAACGATTCGAAACGAACCATCGATCAATGCCATTTTATCTGAATTTGATTCAACATAATTACCGAAGACGAATGGAAAGTAATCGAGGATTACGCGTATTAATCGGCTACTGGAATCTTCGAGTCGACTTGGGACGTCCTTAATCTTCACATTATATCTGAGTCCGATGGATTGCAATTATGGAAAACGAACATGCAGTCGAGGTTCCCGCGGATTAGTTAGCCTATGCAATTTTCCCGCTTGCGGTGTCCTCAATCTTCGCCATTTTATTCCGATCCAACGAAACGCGACTATTCGACGATACTCGATGTCGATTTCGATGATTTTTAAAAACTTTTTCCTATGAAAAATCGCATGTCGACTACAGAAACATTCAGTTATAAATATAATGCAGCAGCTGGCAACCAGTGTACTTTCAGTACGCATACTTACAATAAAGTTTGATTTTTAAGGCCACCCGTAGCACGTAGGTGTTTACAACTGTGTTTATAGTAACAGTATAGTAAACTCCTGCGAGCGTGGACGTACAGAATACATTAGAACAGCAGCCATAGTTTATTCCTTGCATCTCGGGAGCTAAACTCGACTTGCAATATTTCCAAAGGGAAAAGTTGTTCGGAACATCGTTGTTCGTAACGCATATTTAAAAATCATCGATATCGACAGGCGAGCCTCGCGTCAAACTGATCGCGATCGAGGGTTTCTATCTATTTCTCGCCTCCTGGAGTCCTCGATCTCTGAAATCGAATACCCCCGAGTCGAATAAACAACGCGGCACCGTATTTCGCCAGACTGTCGCGCGTTCGCGTCTAAATCGGCGTTGATTAGCATACATGGGTCGCGCTCGAAGTGAATGGAAGCCCCGCGAGTATAATTGGCCCAGGTTTATGATCCCCCTTAATGGAGCGCGTCGCCCCGAACGCGTTCCCCGGTTTTATGTAACGTCGAGGAACGACAGGCATTCGGAGAACATTCTCGAACGGTCCGCGTAGCCGATACACCTCTGTCTGTCCCCGTTCCTCCTCCTCCTCCTCTCTCTCTCCTCTTAGCGGCAGAGAGTCGCGCTAATCGCTCTGCCCACGTAGCCACGACCAGAGGATCTTTCCCACAACCGAAACTCGCCACTGATTCTCACTCCCGAAACACTGACCGGAGGACACCGCCTCCATAAAGCTCGGAACTCTCAGGTAGCAAAAAGATCCTCCGGGTCGGACGGGACTCGTCGTCGTCCCGACGTTTCTCACAACCGATCCGTCGATAGTCACTGTCCGAACCACTCTAAACGATCACAAAACGGCGACCAGGCCCGCCACTAGACACCTGCCGGCCGACGTGCCCGTCGAGGAATATTCGGCGATCATTCGAATCTTCCTCTTCGGCAGACTGGCCGAGAGAGTCCTCCGTCTCCAGAGGCATCGTCCACTGACGCGAGGCGAGGGAGTACAGGTACTTGAAATACAAACGGACCCACGGAGGTGGGTCCAATCTGATGCAGGGTTCCCTTTGAGAATCAGGTTAGACCGGCCGAACCTGCTCCTCTGGCTTCTCGTCTCCGGTCCGCGGTTGTATACCGGCCTCGTGTACCTACTCCTTCTCTCCAGTCGCCCCAATCTCCTTCTTCCGCGTAGTAGGTAGGCACCTACCTACCTACTTCCCGCCACCCTGTTCGGTTTCTCTCTTCTCCCCGTGTGGCCGGGTCCGGTTCGTCTTGTTCCTCCTCGCGATCCACGGGAAGGCCTCCGGGACTTCTTCCCCCGGGCCCACGCGCGTTGCGGAAAACGCGACGAAAACCACGCCGTGCCCGTACGGCACACGCGACCGTTCCTCCGTGTCTCGTGCACGGCTTCCTCGTTGCGTCTATTATTACACCTGTCTATCCGTCAGCCGGTAGCTCCGTCGGTTGAATTCCAGTTTTACGCGTCTCGCCCTCCCTCGACCTCCCAGTCCACGCCGTAGTAGGAGGAGATGAACGAGTCGGGAGAAGAGTGGAACCCAACTGGTTTTCGCTAACTATCCACCTGGACGACCCGAAGACGTAGAATTCGTGGTGTCCGACTGGTTTCGGCCACGGATTCCTGGCCAGCCACGTGATAACTGAATCAACCTGGGAGTCGAACCTGCTATTCTGGCTCCGCCGGGCGTCCTCCCGATCCGCGAGACGCCGGCGACCGCCCCTCCGGAGACCCCACGATGGCCTTCCTGATCCCGTTGGCGATCTCGTTCTTCCGGGACGTCAACCTGAATCGCAAAAATGCGGCTCCCCGCGAGCTTCCTGTTTCGGCCGACTTCTTCTTCCTCCTCGATCCGCCGCGCCTCGCTGTCCGGTTCAACGGCTTCCTCCCTTGCGGCGTTTAGGCGTACGCGTGTCTCCTTGTTTCGCCGGCTTTTCACTCTCGCTCGCCTGTCCGTTCTGTCTTCGACGCCGGTTTATTACCACCTGTCTATCAGTGCCGCGACCGCGAAACCGTTTCCAGTTTGACGTGCTTGTCCGCTTGAAATGAATGGTACGGCCAACTGGTCCCCAACGATCCGCGCCGTTGCGTCATCGAACCGCGCGAAGCCACCGAGATTCCTCTTTCCGGCTTGCTTCTCGCGCTCGGGCCCCTCCGGAGACCTAACGCTGCTTATGGTCTTCCCAGCGATAGCTATTCCTACGGTGAAATTGGTATTTATCGGTTATTTCGAACAAATTTTATAGCCTGTAATAGCTTTGGGCAATCGCTGGACGCCTTTAATCTTTTCGTTTTGCATCGAAGTTTGCGAGTTTGCGTTCCATTCTATTTGTGGGCCTTGCGTTCTTATATAAGGTTAAAGTATCAAACAGATTTCAAAGTCATTTTTTAATGCATAAGCTTCCACTCGACTGTTCGACCTTCGACGACCTTGGTTCGTAGAGTATAAAACCCTCAAAAAGAAATTATCATTTATTATTTACTTTCACGCACGTAAGACTTCACCGATTTCGATAACCTTGAAGTACGTCAGAGGGGGAGGATCACTGGGGTATTCGAGGTTCGAGTTACACCAAGTTCTCAGGTTACTCAGTCTCGAGTCAGGTAGGATGTATAGACATCCAGTTGTTCCCCCATTTGCGTCCTCATGCAGAATTTGTACACGTGGACGTAAATAGTTTTCTTGTTTCATCCCCTTGAAAATATCTCTGGAATAGCTTGTTCCAAGTTAATAAATTTGGTTTAAAGAAAGAAGTGCAATCGTGTATGATACGTTGACATTTAAGTGACCTTCAACGCGAAAACTTCCGCGTAAAAATAGGAAATGTCAAGCACCCATTCTAACGCTATCTCGTTCCAAGCCTGGCTCTTGTTTGCGAACACAATTAGCAGAAACAGTGCTAATGTCTGGCGACGTGTGACGGTAGAGCGATAGTTGAATCCTCGGACTACGGACTGTCGCGATACTCGAAACCGACCAATGATAAAATTACTTCCCTGTTTATTTTAGGAGGAAGTCGTTCGTCGGATTTTTACGCTATCGTCGACCATAATAAAAATATACTAATACAATTATTTATAATTTCCTGAAGGAAAAGTAGAAATCTTCGTTAGGTTATTGGAGCGTCATGGATCGTTTTCGTTTCTTTCGCAGGTCCTCCACTGCTCCTCTTCTTCCGTTAACGACGTGCCATAAAATGCTCAGCAGCCTGTGATACGCTACCCCAATTGCCTAGAATCTTTCGCGTAGACGTAGTCGAGAGTTAGTCCGGCCAGATAGGGACCCTGGACGAGATCGTCGGGAGGACGAGGAAGAAGGGGCGCGATATTGAGACAACGAGGATCCTACAAGGACGTCACGATACGACGAGGAAAGAGAACCGGAAGACAGCGCGGGAGAATGTCGACTTGCACCGACGAGGCCGACAACGCACCCCTGCACATGCAGGAGGCCCTGTCACCGGTTAGTCAACCTTTTTCATTTCAGTATGCTTCAGAATGTTGTGTGGCAAACCGTGCAACTTTGGACGAATGTCTAGTACGTTCCTAAAGTTCGGTTGCTTATTTTAGTAGAAAGGAACGAGGACCTTTCCGCGTGGCTCGTCGAGATCGAAATTCCACCGAGAGCTTGGTCAAATATTTGAGCAACCAATCGGCTCGGAAGTCACGACACTTTCCTCGAATATTCTCCGTTTGCAGAAGTGTCGATCACCTCAGTGACGCACGAATTAGCGACTCCTCGGGCACCGGTGCTCGTCGGGGCGAGCGAATTTTCGGGACAAAAGCGTGTGACGCGCGCGGAACGCTAAACTGAAAATCGAAACGTAGAATGGACGCGGAGGGATCGGGCGCGAATGAGCCGTGGGCAGCGTCGATGGAAAAATAAGAAGGAAAAGGAAACGTGGAAAGAACGTATCTTTGTTCTTCGACTGCTTTTCGCTCGCGGGCCGAAAGATTGACAGCCGATCCTCGATCTTTCGGGACGCGCAGACTCGTCCATCACTCGGTCCTTGGCGTCTCAGGGTCGTTCCAGAAGTTCCACGCCTGGAACAACGCAACTGGCAATAATCTTACGGGCCCGCCATTCTCGTTATTTCGCGCAACGGGTGGTAACCTGCCGCGGGTAGGGGCGGGCGAAAGAAAGAGAAACGGAGGAAGGTCAACCGATGACCCGCGCGAAACGCCGCGGCCGTGAAGTATGATTGCATTCCCTGAATTGTCGAAATCGAAGGGGGCGTGGACGCGTAAGTCCTCCGGGTCGTTAATCACGTTAATCAAAAGCTCCAACGATCGGAATTTAGTAGGTCGTTGCCCACGAAACTAAAGAAATACATATCGAGTATGAAACAAATAATTTGAAACTTCGAGCAGGCAAAATATACAAAATAAATGGAATGCAAGAGAATACGAGAGATTCTACGTGGAAAGGAGGAAAATAAATCAGAAATCATCCAGCATCCGTGTACGATACTTTTGTAAATTCACGGCCGGGGTTTGATGCCTCGGCAGCCCTAAACGAATTCCAATACTTTATCGCTCGGGGTGATATATATATCCTTCCCGAACGGCCACTCCCGGGCCCGGGAGAAGCCTGAAAAGATTTTTACTGTCACTCGGCCGCAGGTTTTTAACCTCACAATGGTATACCTGTCGCTGAAAAGTGAAACTCCGCCGGACGAAAGCCCGTTATTTGCGTGGCCCTGCTCCACAATGAGGAGTCCGAAGCGCATAAGCGGTTCCCCTAAGAATCTTACGGTTGCCCCGGCGTTGCAGCCAAATCCCCGTGGAATTATTACAGTCGATTTCGCTGCCAGCCACCGCGCCATCCTTCCACAAACGATGATATAATTTATGATAATACGATGGATTTTACGTCGTTGCGTACGCGGCACCGACCCACCCCTCCGGTTTGTCTTTATTACGAGCTGCGAGTCCGATGGCCTGTAATTCACCTTTCGGAATTTCCAAGCACCGTTCGCTCGACCGTACAGGAAATCGATCGTTTCGTGGAAACTTTTATTCCGCGCGTTTCTTTTTTACCCCAGGCCTCGTTACTCCTTTTAAGGCTTACCTCGCGATGCCTGCGAAAAGTTTTACTAATTTCTAGTCGAATCGCTGTTAAACTGCTCGTTCGAGAAGATCGTATCATTCAGGAATTTCTCTCATATCGCGGATTATGCACTCTCAATATTATACATCCAGTCCACGAATCAACAGCTACGATTAAATGTTTGCAAACTCGAGATCTAACGAAGTTTAATGGCACCAACGATGTTTGTGACTGTAATTTAAAATGGTAATAGTCAAGAAAGCGCGATTCTTGGAGCTATCCGGTGGATGGAATTTTCGAAGTACGAGATGTTTGCCCGTTGCGGAGGATCGAGGTAACGGCTGAATTTTCCATCCGTCGAGAATCCCCATCGAACGCTGGCATTCTTTCGTTCGCGAGAAGCGAACGGTACGTTCTCGACCGTCCATTCGTTCCAGCCCAGCCACTCTTGAGCCTCGCGCGCGGGGCGAAGAAGAAGAAGAAGAAGACAATTTTGCCGCGTACGATGACTCGCCGGATTTCGCGTATCCTATACTCTCCGCACGGTGGGAAGGCTCGGTCGGCGATCGTGCTATTCATTATCGAAGTAACCAGCAAAGATTACTTAATAGAATCGAGTCGACTTCCAACTCTGTGACGCGAGATTTTCGGCCCTTTCGTCCGCCATCGTGCTCACTCACGCTACCTCCACAATTCTTTCTCTCTGAAATAAACTACGAATTATTTATTATTTCGAAACATTGTTCTTCCAAGTTTAATCGATCCAGAAGAAATTTTCGAACGAAATTGTTTCATTTTCGATAATTAACGTTTTTAGCGTTTTCGCGCGGCGTGTTGGAGTATGTAAAACGTGTTTAACCAACCGTGTAAAATGAGCCCGAGGCGTACGCATATGTTTTGAAATATTTTTCTGTCCGTATAATTATGTTTTCGAAAATAAAAAGAAGAAAAGTTACCGCTAATGTTAATGTAAATGTTGCAATTGATTAATGCAAAGAGTTAAGCCGTTCGAGAATCGCGCTATTACTCAAGTCGATGGCTTGCAGGGTTAGTCCACTCTTACTCTCAAGGTCTCGTTTATCGCAAGCGTTATAAAGATACATTGCAAGTTCGAAGACACCTATTACCAGTGACCACCATGACAATCAACGCGTCTAGGCATATTTTATTGATGATTTAGAACCGCGAGGCGGTGATTGTTTCTCGAAGTTTTATAGTTCAACGGATTCGAAGCGGCAAAAGCGTGTTGCTATTGATTAAAACGCGCGGTTTACGAAACCAATGAAAGTGATGATCGCTCGAAAGGATTAGAAGAGAAGGTTATTACTTTTTCCCGAGGAAAAAGCGTTCTCTTAACCGTTCTGAGTAGTGTATAATGGGAACGGAATAATGGTAGCAAGAAACGCAGCGAGAGCTGTTTGGAGATATCAATCAAAGATAATGGCGGCGGAGAGATTTTTGTCCGTTACGTTCGCCGCGGTAGCGAACGCAACGCGGGGATATTGTAAAAAAATGATTTATTGCTCTGTACACATCGGTCGGATTCTCAGGACACGTGATAATTATATGAATAATATCGCAATGCACGAGTGTCAACAATATTGCTTGTTTCTTGCTACACGAATTGTGATTGATGACGTTTAAGTAATAATAAACGTTCAACGAATGGCCACGGATGACCGTTGCGCTCTTCGGAAATTTCGAGACGGTCATTTTTGCCGGACCTCTTGAAAACTTCCTGGACAACGTCCCACTTCGAGTCCAACCACTCCGGAGTTTCGAGCAGAAGTTAAGTGTTTCAGAACTCGAAGGTCTCAGATTTAAAAAATTTCGTAATTTCATAATCAGATTTTATTAGCTTTCGAGTCCTGAAAGCTGCTCAGGCCGGTGCCAGTGAACGAGGAGTACGAGTAAAGTGCAAGTGAAATGCCAAGTACGCTTAGAAAAAAGAGAAATAATCGATGGAGATATAATGATACGATCGTCAACAACCGTAAACGTTGCGAGCAATTCCATGTACCTCGCCGAGCCCCCCGGGCATATTCGTGATGCCCGACGAAGAAAAAAAAAGTATCGCGAACAATCACATGGGTATTTTCATGATTACCGGCGACTCGAAATAGCGACAGGAAGTCGCGCAGCGTAAACGCATGGATATAACTAATAACAGTAATTTGTCACGGATCATAGGTGTGCCACTTTCATTATTCAAGGAACCTTTTTAATAACATCGGCGAAATTTCGTTCGCAGCGCGTGCATTATACGCTCGTACATTTTATGCAAATCGTCAAACGATCGAAAAAAACTTTACAAGCAACGGAAATACGGTTCGCCATAATGCTAATCTGTTTTTGCGATAGAAATTTCGATTCGGGGAACTTGAATGAAAAGGTGCAAAATTTCATGAAAGGAGGTTTTGGAGTCGATCGACCCATCGAAATCGACGCGCGGCAGTTTCGAACAGATCGGAAGCGAATGCCGCGGATTCTGCTCGAAGGCTAGGCCCCCGGTACTGTTTACACGCAAGAACTGGCTGATAATAACAGTTAATTGGCCTGCTGGCCTGCGCCCCGTGAGAGACTATTCCAGGTCGAACGGCAGCCACCAGACGTGTCTGTCGGTCGAACGGGGCCGACTCCGCGAACGGATACAAGACCGCTGCTCGTCCCCGTCGTTTCTTCAACGCGCGAGCACGCCTATGCGCGCGATTATTGCCGATCACGTCGTTGGAATACGCAGCTGCGCGCTCAAAGATACGCGGAATCGTTAAGGGCCTTTCTTTCGTTTCTCTACAAGACCAGTGTTCCTCGGTGTACGCCTCGCAACCTAGCCACGCCGTTGACCGTTCATTGTTGCGTACATCCACCCCTCCCCCCACCGCGTCGAAGGCTTCCCCCCTCGTCCACAGCGGCGGTACACGATCGCCGTGGGTTTTTGCGATCCTTAGTTGAATCCTTGTTATATCGGCGGAGCGTAGCTGGCCATCTCGACGAGGCAGGGGAACACCTGTCGCCATTTCTGTTATTGCGGCTGCGCGGCGGTAATTTCTTTCCGCGCTGCTCCCGTATGGAGCTTCGTTTCACCCTCCTTCTTCGTCCGTTTCTTTTCTTCGCGGATACGAGCTTCATTGTACTCGAATTTTTTGCCCGGAATTCCTTATTATTTTATACCCGGTCGCATCGAGCGCGAGCCGTAACCAGAAGGTAAGTCCCGATTGATCGTTGGATAACGTTAACAATTTATCGACGGTGGCATCGAGACGGACGATTATTTCTCGTTGAAATAAGCGTAACAACTTGGGAACCGCGTTTCCCAGCCTTTTCCATTGCTTTCTGAAATCTACGTTTTGCGAGATAAATTCTGGGAAAAGTCATTTACCATTTTAAAATCGGAGGTTTCGTTTTCGAGATGCGAGGGGTTAAAGTTTACTGATATCACTCCCACGCGCGCCATTGATATTTTCAATCAGCTGATCGTGCGGCGCATGCGCGCTCTCGAGCCCGAGAAACTAGCGAAACTTTAAACGCTTATATCTTGGAAAATGGTGCTTCAAATTGCAAAATGGCAAAGGACTTTTCGATTTATATTCGCAGGAGGAATTTTTCCACATTTTCCATCGTCTCGAAACATCGTGTATAGATCTAATAAAAAGTTTCCACTAAATTTTGTTCCTGCCCGTCTTTCGACAGTATTTCGAACGAAAACAAAGTTGCGCAAAGCCACGAATTTAATCTTGTCATCTAGCCGACTCGCATAAGCGATTCGAAATCAATTACAGAGGAGGAAGAGGACTATCCACGAACCGTGCCGCTAAAAACGCTATCGCGACGCCCGGGTTACATAATCGTTCACCTTGACAGCGATATTAGATTGAATCTATGGTACAACGTCGTCGTTGAACGAGCCGTGTACACGTTATTTCATAAATCCCGAGATAACATTCTCCAGGAGCACTACGAAATCGTGAAATATGTATTCGTGCGTGGAGTATATAACGAACCGCGCCGGTCTACTCCCTCCCTCCTCTTTCTCTCTCGCTCTCTCTCTCTCTCCTCTTCCTGTCGTTGTCAACCACGTGTGTAAAACGTCGTAAAAACGTAATGGATTCAGTCCCTGAGACCCGTGAGTCAACGTGTTGCCTCGGTACCCGCCGCATCGAAGATCGCGATAAATTTCCCCCGACCGAGCGGCGTACGATTAGATTTCGAATGAAGTCGGTACACGACCGCCATACTTCGAACGGAGGAGTACTTAACGTCGTGTCGCGACCGCGGGAGGCTTCGTAATCGGGCTGATTAATGCCTGTTAAGGGGAGACTTCTGGCATCGAAAACGCCGTTCAACGTTACGCCCGGTAGCCACGGTGCCTCGAGAAACTATTCGAATTAAACGTTTCATCCTCAGTGTATCAAAACAGGGGCTTAAAAGGTACGCAACAGGCGTTATTTTTCCATTATTTTAGAGTCCTAAACAAACGATAAACTCGATTCTTCTCGATTCTTTTACACAAACAGCTATCATAATTATCGCCACGCGTTAAGAAGGGGTTGAAACAACGCAACGCAGAAGCTCGTACTTGGACTCTAATTATATCTTCCAATAGCAGGAATGCGCGAAACGGTCCCAAATTAATTGCCACGCCGTTTGCGCCATTATTTTCCCCCCGGCCGAAAGAAAAGAAAACCGTAAAGTGGATGTAACGAAGCAAGAACTTAAGTACAGAAAGTCGCCGACGTCTCGTGAATAAGTATGTCGCATTTCTCTAACGACGTCGTTTGGAATTTCCCACGTGCCGCTGGATTACGACGCTTTCCAGGCGGAATGAAGCTGAATTATCGCGGACTTCTCCTTTTGCCCGGCCATTCTTTCGAACGTCGATCCCTTCGACCGAGAAACACGCGGCGCCATTTACAGCGCGCGTAAAAAGCAATCGCGCAAACACAAATTTCGAATAAAGCCGCGCGCGGCTTTAATTAACGTTACATTTACATGGCATAAATAACGCGTGCTCTTCGATATTTGCGCGAGAAACCGCATACCGAAGCGAATCACGCAACCACATCGCGCTTGTGCAATATCCAAATAAACGGCGAAATCATTTTCAGTGATGGAATCCATATTCGAAGGACTTTCATTCGGTGGAACAAATTTTAATAAGAATTAAATAATAATAATTGTACCTGGTAAGATAAGCGCATAGATCCAAGTATGACTGAAATTGCAACTCGCGCGTGATTTTTAGCTTATTTTCCCCGGCACAGATTACTTCACCAGTTCGTAACAGCTGGTAACGTGAATGGAGGAAACGCGCTATCCGCGAATTTTTGCAAGCGCCGTTTCGTCGCGGACTTTCAAATCGCAGCGATTAAATAAGCCCTCGGAAGACGGATCGTCAAGCGTCTCGGAAATGAAAGTCCTTCCTGAATTTCGTGACGAAAAAGGATCACTTACGAAGCCGCGAGCCGATAGAAAGTCAATTGGAAGGTGGCACGGCACGTTCGTTGGTGATCCTTTGATCTTTGCTCGGATTAAAAGCATACTTCGCCTCGACGCGTTTACAGGTGGCCCGGGGATTAATTATTGCCTGGCCGGAGTTATTAGCGTGATTTTTGCTGCATTCGAAAACGAGTGCGTTACAAATGTACGTATGGTGTCGTAAATCGTGGCAATCGTCGGCAGGGATTAATAAAATTCGAGTTTCGTGTAAAAACGAAATAAATTATCCGCGAACACGCGTGCCAGAGGCGTAGAATCGATGGAAAAGTTCCAAGAAATAATTTGGAAAATTTACTACGCGCTAATCTGGTTCGCGACAACTTTATTTAACCTTCCATGTTTCGAGAAGCCAGGTGTTCCTTTCGCGAAGAAATATTCATTGTGAGGCTCGTTACGTCTTTACTACGTAAATTGAAAAACTTGCCTGGGTGTTGAAGTTCGATCGATCGAAGACTTCCTCGACGCACGTTGTGTGTTTCGTAATCATTTAATTACGTAAGTCCGTGACCTAAAGTCGATCTTTCCGATAGCCACGAATCTGAGACTTTCACGGGACGCTGGACGTCTTCCTACTGTCGTCGGTCGACAAAGAGCATTGAAAAGTTATTCAGAGAACGGTGCCCTATTATTAAATCCGCCATCGGCCTCAATCAACCTGCAGTTCACCGCGAGATCTACCCTCGTCAACCGTCCTCCCAAAGAACCGCGACTCGGGCGTTGAATAACCCACCCTCGACGCCCGCATTCAGCCTCGCCGGTCCTCTTGTTCCCGACCGTGTCCTTGAACTCGACCACCGTGCGCACTTTAACCCCCCTTTTGACCGAAATATCGCCGCCGCGGGAACAATTCCGCAGTTAGCGATGGAAAATTTGTGAAATTTTATTCCACCGCGCCCGAAAAGCGACGGAGATCCAATTACGTTGCAGAAATTCCCACATAAATTAAACACGATGCGGGTTGTAGCCCCCAAAATGGTTTGAAATTTAAATTTCTCAGTATCGTATTTGTTGATTCTTAATTTCATATTTGTGTGTATATGATTTACGACAGAGAGAAAAGCCAAGAAATAGTGAGAGAAAGTAAAATAAAAATTGGCACACAGAGCCGTGGATTAATCGAGTAGTTCAACCAGTAATTATCGCTTGCTAAATAAGTAAATATGGACGATCTTATGGATTTCAACTTTTTTAAAATGTCTGTAGTATCTCTGGATCTCTGGAGTAGCTCTCCACGCGTCCGCAGGCGGATGAACGACGACAAAAACAAAAGCCTAACGTTTAGCAAAAACCAAACACCATAATTGAAACTTGTTATCCTGTCTAGGTTCTTTGAATATTCCACAGTGCACGGCTCTACTTAGTTGCCTGGATAGCTATACGTCTGCGAGCGGTTAAATGTAAATAAAAAACGGAGATCCAACAACTAACGAAGACCTAGAGTCGTTATTGCAGCTCGTTATCATTTAACCCTGCGGTACTATACGTGTTCTCGTTAACAGCGTACCGGGCAAACGCATATACCATCCATAAAACTATGCAAAAGTAGAGTTTAAATGTTCGTGAAAATCATTTTATTATCGTGGAACTATTATTGTGGCCCAGGCACTGAATAACAGTAATTGTTCTCCACTGCACCGTTTATTGACAGAGCATTGACAGATGCTTTATGGGGATTGCAATTAAATTAAATTAAATTGAAATTGAATATTGTCAGGGAATAGAAAAGAGGCAAAAGAGAGATTTATTATAATTCAGACTATATAAATATTTAGGTGGACCATCCTGCACATTATCAGCAAAAAATATAGTACCGATTATTTTGTACTTGCGACGCAGCGATGGCAAACATTAACTCTTTGGTAATTAACATTCGTCTGCATGGAACGAAACTATTTAATAAGTGGTGTATGATGGCCACTTACTGTCATAATAGATATACGCTTCATTCAACAACAGCAACGCAATAATAAACGTCTCCTTAATGATCTAACCGTTAGCCTACCGTCTCTAGTACGTGTCGAATAATTTCTCACCATGCCGCTTAATAACACTCAAAACAATACACCGTTGCATTTTAAGCACAGTATTTAGATCTGCAAAATTACCAGCCCCTATTTATTATACTTACCAAACCTTTCTATCGATGTATTTTTCATTCGAATAATTATTTAACAGAATTTTAACCGGATATAAAGACAACAGAATTAAAATTGAAAATAAAAGAGAACGATTTTATCAGATCCTCGACGCTAGGATCCATCGGATTACCCCCGTTCGGTTTCGGGTGTCGTCGGCCGCAGTCGGTGTACAGCGACGGTGCCAGGCCTCTACCTGAGCTCGCAGCTTTCCCTAAATCTAGAACCTTTCTGTCTTAGGTGCAGGAGGGCCCAGTGTCTCCGGCGTCCTCCTCCCTGAGCAATCAGAATCAAAACGATAGCGAGCAGCAGGTGCTGCTCGCCACGATGCAACCAGTGAACGTGCTGGACCTGCACGAGCCAGCGACGGTGCACTCGCTCCACTCCAAGTACCACCATCATCATCACCGCCACCATCACCACCATCACCATCATCATCATCAGTCACAGCACATTCAGGACCCGGACGACGTGCAGCAGCGTTCGGCCGACGACACCGACGGCAGGGTGACGCCAGGCGGCGAGCAGAACTCAGGCAACCCGACGCTAGGCGTCGGCGAGCACAAGATGATCGATCTCATCTACAACGACGGCCAGAAGACCGTCATGTACACCCACGACAAGGAGATCATATACGAGAACGAGGCGGATCGCGTCCAGGTGGTCGAGTACCCGCCACCGCCGCCCTCGCCGCCGTCTCCGTCGCCGCCGTCCAACGTTTCCAGATCGGGGTTGTTGCCGCCCACCTGCGTCACCCCCAGGTCAGCATCCACCACGGCGTTGCACTTGCATCACTATCCGCAGCTGCAGCTACAGCACGAGGACGATCTTCCACCCGGTGTGCGTCACGCCGTGAACGCCACTGTCCCGAATTGCGGAGCTGCGACCACCACCACCACGGTTCTGGTCCTCTCGGAGCTGGTCGCGGCGGACCCAGCGGCTGGGGCAGCAGCCGCCCAGCAACTCACCCTCACCGCCGCCGCCGCTGCTGCATCGTTGCGTGCTGGGTAAGTCTTTGGACATTTTTCTGATCCTCGTGGAACGTTGTTTACTACCAGAAAACACAGGGTGTTCGAATAACATTTGTGGTTTTGGGCTTGAAACTGTCTAGTGCAATGTTCTGGTATCTGGAATGAATTTTGAGTACCCAAAGTTGATGGGTCGAGTCGAGCAGGTTCTGAACATATGGGGTGCTCGAATAAAATTTGTGATTTAGGGCTTGAAATATTTGGAGTCTTAGAGTACGCGATAGAAATGAATTCTAGTCAGGGTCTGAAAGTTTCCTGTGTAAAATTCTAGTGTAAACAACATAATTGTCGATGCAAGAACATTATGAAACACCCAGTACGGTTAGTAACAGACATTACACATCGGTGCTCCTTAAGATCGTAATGAAATTCGTGGCTTTACGAGTATCGGGGAACTTCTGCTCGGCGTGCAAGCAACGAGCTCGTCATCGCGGACCATCGTCCGTGATCAACGACACGAACGAAAAGCCACGCGCGAAATTCCTATGGCTAGAAACCTGTTCGTGTCAAATCGTTTCCTCTCGTCGTTTAACGATCTGTGCTTCTTTTTTTTTTACTCGAACTACACATGTAATAAACACGCGAATCAAATTATACAGCGTGCAATAAATATCGGCCGCAATGAAATTCGAGAGATATACAACTATGCAAACTGTTTACTACACAGTACGCAAATGTACACAGGGTGTTCGGTCATCCCCGCGAAAAATTGTAATGGGAGATTCTGGAGGCCAAAATATTACGAAAAACAAGAATACCAATTTGTTGATTGAGGATTCGTTAAAAAGTTATTAACGTTTAAAGTTCCATAGCGTCAGGACAATATTTCGGCGAAATTAAAAAATTTCAAATCGTTCTGCAAAAATTATTTTTGGTTGCAGGGGTTAATTCCAATCATTTTTGGTGAATAGATATACCCTCCAATTCCTAAGCATTTTCGAGAAAAAAATTCGTGCAGGTGGACAAATTTTATTAATACTTTTTGACATTAATTTTGTTAATAACTTTTTAACGGAGCCTCAGTCGACAAATTGGTATTCTTGATTTTGGTCTTATTTTGGCTTCTAGAATCTCTTATTAAAATTTTTCTCCGGGGTGTCCAAAATATTGTCTTGGATCTAATTTCACCAGCACCAAAAGTATCATTAGAACAATTTCACTAATGTAAAATTCAAGTATGAGTGCAGAAAATGTTCCAATAATTTTTCACGAATGTTGGGATCAGTGAAGGGTTTGAGTACAAAGAAATTGGACAGATAGTCGCAGGCTTAATTTCGCGAGAGCGCGATAGGAGAACAATCGGGCGGCCGCGCGTTCAACGAGACGGAAAAATGGAATTCCGCGGCACAACGAACCATGGCAGCGCCGGCAATTACCGATTCAGTATTAAACCGACGCGGATCGTGCCGCTGGAAGAGAACTTATACCGCACGGTATCGCGCCTTAATAAGCCGTAAAGTATCGCGAAAAGTGTCTCTACACGCGGACAGTAGCCTGCTCGCTGGTACGGAAAAATCAGAATCGCCCTCCGCGCGTGTTCACGTTGAAACGCCGCGCGGCTATCTGGCCCGTGTATCAGCGCCGACAATTAACAATTATTGCGCACACCTACCCGCGAGCACGTTGGATAAGTCACGTTGCCGCGTTGAATTTATTATTACGACGGGACGTGTGCGCGCGCGCGCGCCTACAGCGCCATTCACAAACGGAGGACCACGAACTGTTCGACTTCGATTTCCACGATGTAAAACATTAGACACGGATGACAGATAGTCTCAAACAGTTGAATTTAGTCTCGATGTACTGTGAGTCTAACCATTTTATACTTCTGCATCCTCTGCTGTTATTTTTTATTTTTTTCAAACAATATGGTATCTCGTGTATGCTGAATTTCATTGGAACAGTCACACACTTCGGTTTGATAGCTTCCTTTGTCATCTGGATTTTGATTTTATCAAACGGGATAGAAACGTTTGAAGATCCAAGGAAGTTGCAACATGTGTAGGAATCCACGGATCGTTGTTACTTATTTGCATCATCAAACACTTCTAGCATGGTTACACGCCTCGAAAGAAATTGTACAAGTGTTGACATGATGTGAAGTAATGCTATAAATGCCTCTGAGGTTAGGTTTTATAACACCACTTAAACTACACCTTGTCGATTTGCTCTTTCACTGTGTACGTAATTTTGCTTTTCCTTTTCATAATTTATTTCCCCTGATTCGAACTTGTGCAACAGAAATGTAAAATAAATAAATAGCTGTGTATTTTCGACATTGTCTTCAAAAAGGGCTCGACAGTTCGGGTTCTATTTTTGGTAACACAAGCTGAATCAACGGAGGAAATAAACGAAATTTAATTAAAATCGACAGTACTTTTGCTTGTTTTTGTTTAAAGAAAACAATAGCAAACACGCGATCTACAAATTCGCGATATTTCCATATCGTCACCGTATCTCTTTGTGGGATCGTGAGACGTCGATAAACAACGTTTCACCCGGTATATTTAGAAATGACGTTCCTCCGTGCCGTTTCAAATGCTGCGCGCTGAACTATGCGCGAGCGTCCAACCGTAACACAATGAATAATCAAGAAATGTTGTTGTTTCCTTTATTTTGCTCTTGTTGGTATGCAGGATAAAGTGGTAAAAAAGATGCCAGTGTCCTTTTTGGTTTTATCGACCGATCGAGAGTAGAAATTCATTCAATTCGTTATTGAGAGATAAAAGGAACTAATAAACACAGGAAATAATGTATAGGTATCGCTCGTATACCACGGAACTTCTGTAACACGGTTAGAGAACCGAGGGAAACCCTCGTAGAATACAGAGAATGGGGGATATCCTGTAGAGAAAGTACAGCATATTTAGAATACCAGTCTACTTTAAATGAATAACAAATTGTGATTAAAGATAGGAACAAATGGAACTGCGTAATGTCATTTCTATATTTCAAACTCTCGTTAATGGTGTAAAACTATTTTCTGAGAAAAAAGACACTATTTGTCGAGAAAAGTCGCGCGAGAAAAATTGAAATTCAAACGTTTGGCGCGCAGCTTTCGAGGCAGCCTGTAGCGATGCGCGCGCACCGTCGAGCCCAGCGGACCAATAACCATTAAAACGCACACACGGCCCCTGCGCGCCTTGTTCTTTTGCAATAAATAAAAATCAGCCGCAATTAATCGGTCGTAAGATATGCACACCGAAGACCTTGGGGGTCTCGAAAACAAGCGTGTCTCTTTCTCTCCGTTCTTTCTCTCGTCTCCCAAGCCTGCTGGCTTATTTTTCACTCGATTATTATAAATCGAAAGCGCTCTGGCCAATCAGCGCGGAATCCTTCGACTCCTCGATCCATTTTCTTTCTTCCCTGTGACGTTTCCCTTTTTATTTGTCGACTCGTGGATAGATTCCTGCGAGCTCGAGGAATCATTTTCGAGGCACGACGAAGACAGAAACGCTCCGAAAATTCGAGCTTCCTTTCACTTCGACGACCCACGGTCGTTCCTACGGTTTAAACACACTCGATGGGAGAAGGAAATATGATAACTGAAAGGTCGTTGGCGACTGGAACGGTATCCTAGGTGATAATATATTATTTTCCCAAGTCAGATTGTAATTCTGTCTTGCACGATTGGTCAAAAACAAATTGCACACGAGTTTAAGATTACTAAATTGATATTAATATAATAATAATTGTAGCATTTTTACTACTCGCTGCACACTTATGACCTTATTAATCCTTCTTCTTTAAGAAGAGCTAAACGGTAAAAGTATCACCAAAGTCGATGGCGTTTTACAATGCCTTTCGAGTTCGACGTCTGAATTAACGACTCCCCGTCCCTTCTCGGCCATATTTCTTCCTCCGTGCGCGAATAGCAGATTACAGGCTCCAGATTGAATCGCCACGAATCGAGAATCCGACTCGGATTTCGTTGACGCGTGTGCTTAAGCCCTGGAATAAGTAGCTTATGGGGGTTGCGGAGACGAATCTCTATCCGTGACAGGTTCCTCCGTCGACTGACGTGGGGGAAGGCGATCGAGGCCTTAGCCGACTATAATCTGATTACCGCTGCTTTATCGTTTAGGGGATAATTAGTGCGCCAAAGGATCGGGAACGCTCGTCCCGCGATTGATTTCGATTATTTGCGCAAGTCTGTAACAAGGTAGACGACCTGCCTTCTCAGAGGTCTTTCATATCTTCTACATTTATAATTTTTTATATTACCGTCCCAGTAATTATAAAATTGTCTTACATATAGGCGCGATCTCGCTTCCCGGTTGTAGCACGATTACTGGGTTAGGTATCCGTGAGTTGTTTATCGCAACAAGTTCAGGATCGATGCAAAACGATCGCAAAAGACGCAAAGCAACAAATTTGCGCGTCGTTAACGGTGCACCGATTCCTGTCGTCCCGCGTCTTCCGGGTACGGAAGCAACTGTTGCTGTTGCTTTTGCAACATAGGCGATTGCGTCGAGTTCTCACGTGTCCGACCGGCGATTATAACTTCCTCCGTGTTTCGTATGTACTTACGAGCGCGCACCGAGTGTCCGCGAGACCGGCTGATTGCAAAATGAGTAGCTAAATTGCGTTACGCGGCATAAAATTAAAATACGAGACGAAGAATACGGCCGCGGCACGATCGAATTTGCATATATTTCGCAGAAAATTCCCGACCGCGCTCGTTGCCCTCGCCCGAGCACGAAATTACTCGGCTAACGTCCGTGGAGATGTTTCTCGCACACGAACTTTTCCCAGAAAATACACGAAAAAAAAAGGATGGAAATGGTCAGAGGAGTTGTGTGGATTTAATACTGGTCGATTAACTATTTTATTGTTTCATCGCCATATTTACAATTGCTTTACATAAATCGAAAGTTCAGATTTAAATTAAATTTATTTTTTGGTAAGTATTCTATCACGATAGAAATTTTTCAACAGCTTCACAATTTCTTCTGAGCTTACGTAAAATTTAGACACTG